GACACCAGTGTTGAGGCTGTTTGGGCGGCAAACAATTTTAGCACATGATGGCGAATAACGAAATGCATCTGTTTCCTCATGGTGGAGGGGTACTATTATGATGTTATCTGGAGTGGGCAGCACAGTCAGAGTTCTGCAACATGTGAGGATGACTGCGTCAAGGGCTGCATAACAATGAGATTCAACAGTCCACAACGGCCTGTGCAGGATTTTGCCATGCTGAGTTCCAACCAGGCTACTGGCCCCTCTGCCAACGAGACAGAGCTGATTTTTGCTTGCAACACATTGCCGGAGAGTACACCGAAGCAGCACATGAGAGTTTTGGGGCTTTGGACCCTATTGACATTGCCACCATTCCAGGTCCCCCAGGCAGCCAAAGAATTCCATTGCATTCATCCTATTATTCATGCATGTTCAGCTTTCAAAAGCAAAAAATCGTTGGCAACAAGACCAATCTGTCCCTGATTTTGTCCACTGGACGTGTCGCCGCTGAGCCGCGGGCGAGTGCGCGTGCAGCGATCTTGCAACAACCCCTCAGTCAAGCAACACATTCTCACCGCAATTCGTGGCGCAGCGTCTGCACCCTGATGGAGTATCCTCAATGCCAGACCCTTTCCTACGGGGAACACACCGGCAGTTCCCCAGATTTTCAGGCAGAGCATCCGGCAATGGAAACGTTGATCGTGTGCGTCAGGTTCTCAGGGATCACCGATGGACGAGAGAGGGAGTTCGGTCAATGGCGGGAAGGCCCTTCCATCCCCCCGCGCCCCAACACAAGGGCGTTCCCATTTTCACGCGGCGACAAGTGTGCGCCTGGACACTTTTCTTCGGTTGACGCAGTCTTACTACATTCTAGGGGTTCAGGTCCTGCCTCCAGCTTCTCTCGACAGCGAGCCAACAGTTGGCCGCACCAACGGCCAGGCACAGACACTCCCCTCTAGGGTGCTCACATCTTACAAGCCTAGGTGCTATAATTTGGACACTGGGAGGTCCAGCGGATGTGGTGGCGGTGAAACTGATTCAGGAGTTCACCTTGAGGAATAAAGGGTGCCAGGACGAGGAGCAGGACCAAGCGACCCAGAGCATCCTGTTCAGGGGCAGCCCGAAAAACAGCCATCTTAGAGCAAGAGCGGCGCTGTTGTGCGGAGTGAACGTCAGAAGGCGGATGCACGTCTGCTGCGTGGCGCGAAGCAGCGAGCGAGGCAAGGGTCAGTGGCACGGGTCAACGAACCCCATCGCGTGTTTCCGCTGGGCAGCACTCTTCTGCTTCCGAGAGATGACGATAAATTTTGCAGAAGGCCGGCTGGCCAAATCGCCACCAACCCGAGAGAGGCGCTTCGCGCACGACAGTGGCAGGCAGGCGCTGGTCTGGGATTATCTGTTGTGACGTTCATCGAACCACCGTGGCAAATGGTCCGCCAATGACGAATCTTCAACACCGACCGAGGCCAACTCGACGGCGTCAATACACCCACAATAGGGGACTTTCGGCGCGGCATTGTGGACCGAGAGCGGGGTACAATCCCAAAGAGGGCCAAAGTTCGTTGCGAGGCAAAACTTTGCTTGTATTAAATGTGACTAATAGCATACAGACACAAATTTAAAGTCGTGTTTTTTATGCGGTGGGGTACCTGTATAGCGCCTCCCACCCCCCTGCCGCTGCAGTAACATGAGCAAGGACGGGGCGGTAATTGCAATACCCAGGTGTGGGTCGAAGTTATTATCGTTGAATTTTGTGGAGTAGGTCTGTGACCAGGTGGGCATGCCTTGGGCACCTAGGGCACCGAAAGTACTTTCGAAACCATCACTACCGGCATTCCATTTCTGACACAGGCCTATGTTGACGGTTCCTTGAAAATCCCAAACCACGTTATGAGCTTCTCGTGGTGGACTACGCATTTGAATCTGGCAATAACGTGCGGTGTGTGTCGGTGCAATCGCCGTGGTTTGGGGGAGGAGAGACACCCCGCCCCATGGCGCTTTCCTCGACTCGTCATAACCCGCTACCTTTCCCCGCCTTGCTGCTCCATTCTTGGTGCGCTTCTTCAAGCTCCTTCGTCAGGGTTGGTGATTGAATAAAGCCAAAAGACACCAAAGCAACAAGCAATGGAAGGCAATGGAGGGAGCGCAAAAGTACGGAGAGCTAACGGAATGAAGCCAAGAGCTGCAGACAGTAACAAAAACGGTGTCCTAAAAGATGCACATGAAAAGAATAACAGGAAACGCCTGTAATAATGGGCGGAAAATACTGGACATATTCTTTGGCAACCCATCTAGAGCCAATGGTCAGGCCACAACACGCCTCCACCCATCCCAACGCAATCCAGAGTCGGAATCCAGGATGGCCATGTTGGCAAGAGCTATGGACAGTGAGCATCCTTGAAGTGCCACGAACTTGCCGCGTTCCTGAACGGCCACCAGCCTGGCAGGTTGCAGCTCTCGATCACAAGCGAGCGTGATTGCTACATAGCAAGCCAGATATGGGTGGCATGTAGCATGTACGCACATGTCGCCATCTCTGTCCGACCAGCTGATAAGGAGACTTACGACACAACTCTGATCTGTTCAGGGTTGCGGTTCTGCGTCCGACTGTCTCAGCCACAGTTGGACGGAGTTAGTCAAACTCGCTGTGGTCGAAGTCGGAATCAAAGTCCCCGGACCCCGCGAGATTGGGGAGGCGCTAAGCTACGGCTGGGGATCGCAGAGAGAGTGGGCACGCAAGGCATGTCGTCACAGCCGCCTCCAAAGGACAAGCCGGGAGGCGCACTGCTCACAAGAAAAGCCGTTCAGATGCAAAGGTCCAAATCACTCTTGCAAGGCTGCAAGATCTATGGATTGTTTCGAACACCGGAAATGGAGATTCCAACCTTGTCAAACATCAGGATCTGCGCTCCAAACCCGTTAAATTCAATCACGTTGTCGTCACCAGCTTGTGACAGAAGTGCTGTCTCAGCAGCGCCAAATTAACGGAACCCCCAACTATCCGACGGCTGACACGACAGCCGGGAAAGTCGGAATGATTGGAATTTGGGGTCCGATGGAGTTTGACAGACGGAAAGACTTTTGCCGAAGCCCAACCCTGGGGTTCAAATTTCAGACCTGACAGATAGCACGGCAGGGAACTTCAAAATGGTGTACTGCGCGCCCACCTCTCCGGGGTGGGCGGCAGAGGGAAAGGGGCCCTGAGCCCAGCGCAAATCTCGAACTGCCGAAAGGAATGAAACTGCTAACGTCGGAGAAACCCCTGAAAATCTGGCAAAGAGCCAACCAAGAGCTTGCACTTATCAGAACTCAAATTAGAGCCGAGTCGGAGCTTTCTAGCCATATATGGGCTATGTAGGGTGGCGCCGAGTCGCCTGGACAGGGCGCGAAGTCAGAGCTTCAGCTTCGAATAGTGGGATGGACGTGAACCAATCATCTCAACGACGTAGCCGTGCAGCTACCTGATTTGAGGACCGTGGTTCATGAAGCACAATACGCGATCGGAGGTCGGAGAGGTCAAAGTCCACCCTATGGACTTGAGGTGAGCCGGCAAGAAAGTGGGCCCAAGATAAGCCAGGCTGACGGTCTTTGGAGATGCGCGATTATGCTCGCGGGCGTGATGCGGTGGCGTGTGCGCAAATTCCCTGCTTCGGCGACCACTGAGGTGGGGTTGTGGGTGGGGTCATCTGGCGGGTGTCAGGAGCGGTTTACGACTGGAGGTTTGTGTCGCTGTCCGTGCATGGTTGTTGTGGTATTGTGCAGCGCGCACGATGCCTGTCAGGGCGTTCACAATGGGGCAATGTACAGCAGCACAGGCGCTAGGATCCATGCAGCGAAGGCAAGCGGGCTTGGGCGCGATCGCAGCGCCCACAACGGCAGCGATCACGGCGCTTGCCGCGTTTCGCCACACGTCGCTTTTTTGGGGTCAGTCACAATGGGCGGCTGGCATGAGCTGCCGGGAGAATGTCATGGATGTGCGAGCTGCAGGACGCGACTGCACATTGAGCTAGCCCTTGTACCGCTGTGGGGATGTTACATGGTGGCGATGATGTTGCTGTTTCCCTGTGTTGCTGTATATCGTTGTAAAGTACCGGGAGAGGCGTCGAAACAAAAAAATGACGAGAGGAAGTGGTGGGAGCAGTTGGGTTGGGTTGGGGTGCCCATTTGTCGCAAAGCATATAAAATTCGAATCGTGTCTTCCCTAAGCTGGGAGGCTGCCTGCTGACCGAGAAAGTATAAACAGGCGCCCCCTTTCAACTTTAGCCATGGCTCTCCATGGAGCTCGTGCCAAGCGTCCAAGGAAGCATTGGCCCATGTGTCAAATGCTGCCTTGGGATCAGAGGGTCCAAGTTGTCAAGAAAAGTGGCGTCCATAAATATAATTTGGCTGTTGGTATAGGCCAGCGTGACTAGCACATCCAAAGCGCCCACAACGTCCTCCTGGCCAAAAACTCAATAAACTCATCCCATGTACAAGGAAATATGGCATATATGTTCAAGGTACATATGGTGACGGTGAATAACAAGACAATGACCTGCTGTCCCAATGCAGTGCTGTGCATTCGCTGTAGAGTGCAAACCAGCTTCTATGGCCTGTCCCTTGTTCCTGGGCGCAGCCACGGCAGGAGTGTGCCATGCGCTGACCAGCGCTGCCTGTTACCATAATCAGAACGGACATCTGAATATCCAGAGGGTTGTTCGCATAACCCCCGAATCGTTAAGGCTTGACAGCTGTACAAAATTATCTGCACAACAATTTCTGCAGCTTAAGCTGCATCATCCAGCTTGATGATGAGGAACCTGCTGTGTGCGTTTCCAATCAATTCGCTCACTGCCATCCACATTCGAGGACTCTGAAACCTGTTCGCTGCATGGAAAACTGCCTCTCAGTCTTTTGCATTGCATGGCGAGATCACGTCGCATGGTGCGGTTCTGTCCTCTCTTGATCAATAGCAGTTGCGTAATTGGCTGCAACCCGATCAGGTACAGGACCAGGCCAAACTTCGCACAGGGAAGCAATCAGGCAAAACCTATGTTACAAATGGGCCTATCAAAAATGAGCAAAACAGGTAATACTTGGTGCCCACCCAAACTGTTGATCCCCCCCCCCTTCCTGTCCCATGCTCCATCAGCTCGCTGCAGCCTTGCCCGCTCAGTACTCAGCCGTTTATTCCACACTCCTTCCCGTGGGGCCAGGTGCCACACCCAGCTTGATTCAGCATGGTTTGTGTGCATACGCATATGATGGCACACCACCACTGCCTGCCAGCTCTTTGCAGACCCCGCAAGGACCCGCATGCTGCGGCCCTCCCCAGGTTCCCACACTACAACACCAACAAGGAGATCAAGCATGGAAAAGTCTAATGATACAGGCAGTTCACAGCACACGTGGCATGACCGCAAGTTTTGCCACATATTTTAGGATATATTCATTCACGTGAAAGAAGACGCAATTTACCCCTTGCCAGCAATAACTGTCATCCACTTGCCACTTCAACAAACCCCACATCCACACGATCCCCCCTAAATAGATCCCTTCTGGATACAGAGCTACATGTTCATTACTATGGCGTCACATTCAGTTGCACATTTGGCAGTGCTCAGGTCCAGCCAGGATCCAGCTTCCCACCAGTTGCCGGCAGCAGGTCGCCACCAGCCAGATTATCTTTCCAGGGTGCTTTGCGCAGCAGCCGAATTGTCCAAATCCCGATTCTCCAAACGCCACACTTCCAAATTCCCCCTGCAGGACACTTAGTTCATGCACACTACTGCCTGAACAATTCAGTGTTGCATGCTCTTGCTGCTATTACTCAGAGACGACCAAGGTACCGCTTGCATACAGCAATTGGATTTTTAATCTGTCTGCTTGCTGCCATTCCCGTTGCATTGTCTGGCCAGGAATAATGAACCGCCTTTGCCTCCCTGCAGGTCGTATTGAAGTTTGGTTGGCGGGGCAGAATCTCCTAACCCAAATTTCTTCCTTCAAACACCGTGGTTATCCCATGGCCCAATTGTGCGCCTTTTCCATTTGCCGCACATTTCACCATCACTGCCAAGTGCAATAGCGTGTCAACTTCAGATACAACCGCACAGGCACACAGCCACACCCCAGTGCTGCAGAGCAACGACTTGTCCCAAGGATTTGAACCCATCTTTTCTGCTGAACCGCCCTGCCTTCACCCGCCACAGTACAATTCGGGCAGCAAAGGGGCACCCCAGCAAATGTCTCTGGATACATGCATGCCCGTCATCGCCTGCAAGGTGCAAGGGCTCGCTTTGTCTTGCAAAGAAAAAGCCAAACGAAGGATTCCAGCACAGAGCCCCACATGCACATCCCGACACAGCCTCCAAGCCCCCAAAGGCTCAACACATGGCCCACTCCAACACTACAACACATGCCGCTGTGAGGCGTGTTTCCCCTTCTCTTTGTAACAAACCTTACCCATGCAAGGCCCCAACACCCGCCACACATGGCCTGCACCTCCGCACAGATGGCCCGCAGCGCCTCCCGCTATTTCCCAAGGCTCCTTGCGGACTCGGATCCCCTCGCTGCCACCTTCCCAGGGCTCCTTGCCGACTCGGATCCCCTCGCTGCCACCTTCCCAAGGTTCCTTGCCGACTCGGATCCCCTCGCTGCCACCTTCCCAAGGCTCCTTGCCGACTCGGATCCCCTCGCTGCCACCTTCCCAAGGCTCCTTGCCGACTCAGATCCCCTCGCCGTCGCCTTTTGTTCCTCCCCCTCCTCCCCCTCCTCTCCTTTCGCTGCTGCCGGCCCCTCCCCATTCCTCAGCGTCCTTGGCACCTCTGCCGTGCCCCGGTGCCACTTCATCTTCTGCGCCACCCCCTCGAACCAGTCAGCGTCCAGCTCCCCCACGCCCACCAGCGGCAGGGGGCACATCGAATTGGATATCTTCACGGAGCTGCCACGCACCAGGCGAGTCTGGTGCCTGCCATCAAAGCTCGCCCTGGCCATCGACCTTGAATTGTCCGCCACGTGGATTATGATTTCAGAACCCTCTGGCACGACCAGGGGGCGGAATGACAGAGACAGGGGCGCCACGGGGGTGATGACCGTGCAGGGAACCGAGGGGGCCACCATGGGGCCCCCGGCGGCCAAGCTGTAGGCTGTGGAGCCGGAAGGTGTGGCCGCGACCAGCCCATCGGCGGTGACGGTCGTCACGTAGCGCCCGTCGGCGAACAGCTCCACCGTGATGGTGCTGGCCGAGGCGCCGCGGTCCACGATGCACTCGTTGAGCGCGTGGTGCACGGACATCCGGCGCCCGCCGCCCGTGTACACCTCGCAGCGCTTTCGGCACCGGAGAGTGCATCCCACGCCCTGGCGATCGGCCGCCAGGACCCTCGCCAGCTGCTTTTCGAAATCTCTGACGTGAAACGGGGTCAGGAAGCCCAGCCCGCCGAGCGCGAATCCAACCACGGGCGGCAGCGGCTCGTCCTCCTCGAACAGCGATGCAAGGTGCAGCACAGTGCCGTCCCCGCCGACGGTCACGCACAGATCGACCGGCCTCCCCCGCGGCTCGAAAACCTCGAATTCCGGTGGCAGCTCCGCCAGCGCCCCCTTCTCCGCAACCACCGTGATCCCCCGCTCCCGCAGCCACAGGCCGATGTCCGCCACTGCCTGGCTTGCTTCGTCGCTCTTCGGCCGCCTCACGATCAAGCAGCTCCGCGGGGCGCCCTCATCCCACGACACGTACCCGCGGCGGCCGAGCCGCATCTCCTCCGCCCCACTCCGTCTCGCATCGCCCCCCTTCTCCCCGGCCTTGCCGGGCAGCATGGGGTCCTCCGATCGCGCCCAGCGCACGCCGGGCCTCAATCGACGCCAGTCGACCCCCTCCTCGCCCTCCAAGTCGATCGCCGACTGCAAATCATCCGCCCCCGCCGTCCCGGCCCCCAGGCAGCCGCCCCAGCACACGGCGGCCCTCAGCCCCTTCAGCAAGCCCACCATCAACCGGCAGGCCCGGAACCACCTCCGCGCCTCGCACAGGCGCGATCAGTCAAGGCCCAACCCCTTTCCAGGCTCCCGCAGGCCCCAAGCCCTTCACGGGACTCCCCCCTGCACAATTCCGGAACCGAAACTGTCCCCTGTCACTTTCTCCACTACCTTAGGGCTCCCTCTGCGGCTTGCCGTTCGTGGGGCGCGATCAGAGCTAACCAAATTCTCCCAAGCCCACTCAGATCGCCGCCGTTCCCGCCCGCCAGCCCCCTCCCTCGCGGTTCACGGCTGGAGGACCCTACGGGCGCTCTCGGCGTCCGCACCGGGAGGCCACGCACGGCTCGCGCTGGCGCGTCAACACACCGGGGTGCCTCGACAATATCGGGGGGGATGATCGCCCCCAGGGGTGAGAATCGCACGGAGGGAGTCCCTGTCGCCGCGGAAGGCGGCCGTTGGAGGAGGGGCGCCCGGGCCCGGGCTGGCCGCGCTGTCGTTGCGCCAAGGCTTTGGTCGGAGGGTTGCGGGCTGGTCAAGACAGGAGAGAGTGAAGGGCAGTGCAGCTAAAGTACGGGTTAGTAGTGTCTGGAGCAACAGACGCCATGGGTCAGGCGGGGGCAGTGGCTCAAGTATGGGATGCGGTGGTACTAACCCGGTACTTACGCCCACTACTCTTCCTTACTCACCATTAACTTCCCTTCGCTTGTCATTGATAACGCAGCAGTCGCTGGAGAGATCGACGCGGCGGAAGAAGGGTATTGGGCCCAAGTACAGAGTCAGTACTACTAAGGCATACAATTGCCGGCTGCATTAAATCCCTGCAAAACTAACCTAACCTAACCCACACCCTAAGCCCTAAACCTACCCTAACCCTAACTCTAAGACTCACCCTAACCCTAACCCTAAAACTGAGGTTAGGACACAGTGTGCGTGTGATTTGGTGCAAGCATTCATATTATTTCGTACTACTAACCCCGTACTTGAGACCACCACACGGCTCTCACTACTTAGCAGTGACGGGGCACAGACGCGGTGGATGGGGCTGGTCAGTGTGGGTCTTGAAGAGGGCCAATTGCATGCACCTTCTCGGGTGCAATGATGGTTGATTCTCTGCCTTGCGCGCATTTCCCAGCCCATGCTTCGGATATACCATTATGTACGTCGTTATTTTGACGAAAGTACACACGGCATGGACACCAACCTGGCAGCTGGACACTCACACGTGATGTAGTGCATTGTGTCACGATGAGCGCTGGTCGGAGTCCGGTACACTCTCACCCACGGGCAAACCCTGGCACAGGAAACAGACACTTAAGGATGGCTTGCACGACACTTTCTACGTCAGCCACGCAGCGACGCCTCGGACGCCGGGTGGAGTTCTGTTCTTCACTGTCACCATCCTCACCTTGCATGTACACCACGTGCGCCGTGCGAGTCATGTGTCCTTGTACGTGTACAGCGTCCTCACACTTGGCAACAACAGAGTCTCTGAGCACGACTACTTTCGTGGTACGCTTTGCCATGCCGGCGGAATTCCTATTGAAGTCTAGCGACTTGCCATGAAGGAAGCACGCCGTTCTCATGGACAATCAGCACCCTCCTCAGATACTACCGAGTCGTAGAAAAGCTTTGCGGGCCTCTTGGCAATGTCAGAACGGCCATTAGGCTAGAGCGGATCCTAACAACTGAGCAGTGCTACTGTTCCAAAGCGCTAAGTATTGCCTCCCTTGCCATGTCCTATCGCCTCCATCCGCAAGCGCTGTGCTGCCATCCACGTACCAATTATCCTTGTAAAGGTGTGGCGGGCACACTTCATCGTGCTGGCGTATCATTTGCGCAAATGGGCGTTGGGGAAGCAGTGCAATGATGCATACTCAAGTCGGCATGGATGCCATGCGCTTCGGGTTGCCTTCATGACATCTACAAACAATTCCCTTGTGTTTTGTACGGCACACACTGATCAAGTCAATTGCGGCGACTCCCGCATCCAAATGGACACAAGGCTCATGACGCACACGAATTCGCGTTCCGACAGTTCGAGTTCGATGACAGTTGCGCGCTTGGCGCTGTTCAACACACCAAGATCCAAAGAATGCTCAACTCAAATTCGCGCTACTCTCCAACCCCACGGCCTTTCCCACAGTCACGCTTCATGGCCACCCCGAGAGCGAAGAAGCCATTTCCACATGCAGACATGTCTTGCAATCGGCAAGATCTTCATGACACTCCCGGGGGCCCCACACCTCTCCAAATTAAGCCACAATGTACAGGCAATGCGCAACAATACTGCACAATGTACGCCACCGCTGGCTGCCCAATGTTCAGCAGCCAAGGCCGCAGCGGTGAAAGCATTTGCACGCGAGACGATCCTTTCCGCCAGGTTGCCGCAGGCTACGGAATCGTATTCCCCGTCGGTCGTGACCGTTGTCCCCAGCCCTCTACACGGAGTTTGCAAAGCCAACTCTGGCGTTGCCATAATCAAAGACGGTGTGGTACGCTGCGGGCAGGCAGTCACACTTTAGTCACTTGCTGCAGCGGGAGTGGCATTTTTTCACGGCGGCTGGTTGTTTGTGACTCATCGACTCCTTGAACCACCTGTTGCCTGATTGACTGGCAAGGTGAATGAACGATTGGCTGGTGTATTCATCACGCAACGCTCTGCGCCACAGGAGCCCAGCTGAAATTTGAACGCCACCTCAGATAATATGTTCACGAGCACTGCACAAACCCTGCAACACCCCTAGCGCCAGCGAGCTCAATTTGGTGAAGCAACGCTAATCAACGGCACCGATGATTGCGTCATACTGGGTATCTGGCACTCACACATACGCATGCGCTTCTGTTGAATGCACTATCAACTGTCATATATCCCACTCTGTTTTCTCGCTTCTCTATACTTGTTTCCTTCCATTTTTCTGCATTCCTCTTGTATTTTGGCTTTCTTTTCCCGCTGGAAGACATCTGCATCATCTTCAGCTGCTTATTGATTTTGAATCATTACTTTTAAAAAATTATTAAGATTACATTATTGCTCAATGGGGCGCCCAACGGGCGTCCCTTTCCTCGTCCGCTGAAGCGCAACTCTGTGCCGCTGCGGGGGTACGACATCTACATCAGCTCTACTGCATGGGAGAAGTTTGCTCCTGAGCGTGACGCTCTTTGTGACACGCTCCTATTCCTTTCAGGCATTTGTCTGGAAAAATGGTAGACGCTGATGCAATGGTCTGTGCACAGTAGCATTAATGGAGCGCCGACGAATGCTGCCGCAAGACCAGTGCATCAGCACTGACGCAATGCTGCCGAATGCATCAACGCTTGCTGATTATCAACAAGCGTGTTGCATGTATATATTACACTGACACGTATTGACAATATTACATTGGCTGGGGAAATTTACGGAAGTGATGCTCGGCACTGTGTCAACGCTGATGCAGCCACAATGCTGCATCAACGTCCACCCTGCTTCCAGGTGGCTTCCACTCTGCTGCCAGGGGTGGTGGTCCGTACCTCCTATGAACACATCGCCCAGGATCCACATGGGCGTGGGCAGGTCGAGCCCCTGGAAGCCGCTGATGCACTGGGTCTGACCGAACTGGGTCACCTAAAAACGCAGCACGAGGAGCAACTCATCAAGTCAAACGGGATGCAAAGCATCAGCGCACATCTCGCGAGCCGATTCCGGTGGTGTACAGCTGCTGGCTGGTGTTTGATTCTCCATTTCTCTTCGCTATGGATTTCCTTGTGGTTCCCAAGAAAGCACCTTCTCAATGTACATTGAACATAGTAGAAAAATAGCATACACGACATATAATCAATACGCCTTCTATACATGTTACAACATGTTCTACACGTACAAAAACATTCTCTTTCTGCGAAACGTCTCTGAAGCCGTTGCCAGCGAAACAAGAAATATTCTTATGAGAACTCCTTCATAAGGAAGGTCTCGTACAAAAATTTAGGTTCTGAATTAAAGCGTTTAGCTGTGAGTCTCATGTCAATGACCAAAAACTCAGGAACAAACAATATTATAGACTAATTACTGGGCCACGGCCAGGACTAAAATAACAGAATGGACGAAATGCTGCCCTAAACATCACAAACAAAGTTAGAGTGCCGTGTGGACCCCAGCACGTTACCTTCAGGACGTACTGCTCCGCTGTCAGTTTGAACGACTTGCCACCGATGACAAAAGCGACGTCGGGCATCTGAGGCACCAGGGAGCAGTCGACCGTCGCCGCTCCGACAGATTCATTGGATTCGGCGTCCACCAAGTCGCTGCAGAATGAGTCCGCCATTCGCTCCAGGTAGTCTTCATCCACCTCCTGTTGCATGGGCGTCCGCGTTCACGTTCAAGCACAATAACATACGCAACAGCAGCGCACAATCATACAGAAGTGTTACAACACATACATCCAATAATACAGTACGGTGCGTGCAATGGCACGTCTGTTTCGTGAGAGCCAACAGCACCAGCACCACCGCAAGAATGTAAACCAAAGCAGTGCACTGAGGTCATCCACACCTTAGATTATGCTGTGCACAGCGTTACAGTGGCACAAGTGCACAACGTGGTTTGGTATCAACGATTACCAACTGCAATTGCTGCGTCAAGGGCAATTACGTGGTTTCTTCAAAATGGGAAACAACAGCGATCTCTCATGCACATTGCTCTTCGATGCAGACCCAATGTGATGCAGACTCCGTATTGCACTGAGTCAAGGGGAATGAAAACAAGACGCCATAAAACAAACAGCGGTCATGCAGCAATGACAGTAGCAAGGTCCAGCCAACACTAGCCGTGGACATCGCCGCACATTCCAACAGGTTAAGTGCAGAGCGCAGGCTAATCTGGGCAGAACAACTACAGTGGAAATTTAGCAGCAGATACAGCAATGGGCCTGGCAACCAATGGGAGGGTGAGACAGTAGATGGGGAGACACATCCAGCTGCACCGAATGCAACATCTGATCGGACATCTGACAGAGCCTGCAAGAAGAGGTCCTCAGCATTTTGAGCCAGCAAAGGGAAGCGACGATCAGTAGCAACACAAAATAAGAGCAGAACAGGCAAGACGAGGAGAAGAACGAATGGAAACCAGGGCCAGGGGGCAGGCAAAACTGCTCACCTGTGCTTCGGCAGCCATCCGCTTGCAAAGCTGGCACGTCCAGTCGTCAGAAAACTCCCCAGCCAGCTTCCTTGTTGTGGCGTACTGCGGCTCGTCACTCTCGCACAGGCCAAGCGTCCCGCACACCTGGGCGCAGGAGCAACACTTCAGGATACAACAGAGTTTACAACAACAATCACCCACGATTCCAGAGCGGAAAAGAGAAAAGAATCGAGATAACTGTTCTAGTCACATTCTGCAATTTCGAGCAGGACGCCATGAGACCCGTTTCTTCTATGACAGTCACGCCAATACTGAGTTCCAAAAGATTCGATTTCTTTGACAGCCCATTCTGAACTATGGTGAAAAGCAGTTCTCTCGCACGTGCAAGACAGTGGTGAGCGTCCACGAACTTGATTCCCAAAAGTTGGATTCGACAGAAGCGGCAAGCAGATCAATTGGCACGGGCATCAGCGCTTGCACCCGTTGCATGCAACTAGTGTAAGCATGCAAACTTCCAAACAAAGCAAAAGCTACAATTACCAGGGCACGAAGTGAACATCTTCAGTGTCACACCATATCCATTGCATCATCACACAGTTCAAGCTTGTCACTGCCCCAAAAGCACAAAAAGAGTGCTGCCTTGTGCTCGAAAAGTGCACCAAAAGGATGACAATCGATGGTAATGTTCTAAGGCAGTCTCCATCCCCTGCCCCTGATGCACACTGTGCTGCACCGTACCGATGCACACGACAATAATTGGCACTGGGAATATAAACCGTGCAGATTGAACGATCCATTAGATACGTGTGTGCGACCAGCAAAATCAACATTGTGCTCCTTTTTGACAGCTGGCCCAGCACAACAAGCTCAGCCACTGTGTGTCTTTGGCAATCGCACTGACCCTCACCTGGTCGCTGGCCACGCTCTTCACAAGGTCTGCCACCTGTGGCACCAGAGTGGTGGCCTTGCGGCTGCAGGCAGTTGAGATGGTGGCTGTCGCATTGATGGCCTCGTTGATCTTCTTGATGTCGTCGCTGGGCCCCACCAACAGGGATGTGCCTGTGTCTGCGATCCCAATGCAGCCATACTCGCAGACAGACACGCCCGGCACCTCGATCTTGTCCATGTGGAAGTCCCAGTAACTTTCCTTGGAAACGCTGACCCTGCAGGCAAGGTTGGGAAACTGAGGCCAAGGATGCAGGTGCAAGCGCACAATGTACTACAGCATACTGTGTAGAGCATAAAGTACTGGGCAGCCGTGCCCTGGAATCGGTTACGAAAGCATTGAACCGGGGGTGTATTTGCCTGACTGGTTGTCACATGTGCATGCACACATTCTGTTGTCTAACAATTTCAAAAATAGAACTCAAAAAACATCGTACTGTGAAGTAGAATGATTCGCTTATGATAAGTTCCTCTGCAGAGAAAGCAAAATTACAACCATGTCTGCTTTCTTTGGCTGGGTGAAGTACTTTGACAGTAGGTCGTTGTGGATTTTGTGTTGTAATGATCCTGTTCTGCAATGCCAAGTCATTGCTGAGTCCCTTGGATACAATGACCCTGCAAGCAGATGAAGAATTTGCTTCTGCCAGGAAGGTCAACACAGGGAACATTGGGCACTCCCCCTTTTCGTTGCCATGGAAGGCGATGTACTAGTCTCAAAGTGCAACAGAAATAGTACACAGGGCATGATAAGAGAAGGCCAGGAATGAGGAAAGGGGATAATGCATTGCAAAATCTCTCGTGAATTCTTGGCCAAAGAAAAGCAAAATACCATACGCCGCTCTTTTGACTTGGGATGCGCTTTGCGTAAAAGTTGAGTTGTAGTGACACTAACAGCTGACACTAAAAAAGGACCTCACATCAGCTTCCCTCCGGTACCATCACCAGTCACACCAGTGAATACCTTGGCAGGCGACTAGCCCAACAAAACGTTTCTTGAGTTGTGGAATGCTGCAGCGCAAACTGCCATGAGGCAAAAGAGGCTCTTCCAGCCTTGAGGTTCGAATTGTTGTAGAAGATTTGATGGCAGAATTGAGCCTTTGGAGCAATTAATGCAAATTATCACATATGAGTGTCAGGGGAAGCAGTCAAGTGAATTGCTCAGCAATTGAAGGAAAAACCTTATGCCAGTGCACAAACCAGACATGCTCCCCTTCGTAGTGCTTGGGGTCCATGCCTCCAAACACAATCTCTCCGCCTGCCTCGGCATCAGGGTCCCGGTTCATCCAGAATGAAAAGAGGGGCTTATCGATGAGACCCTCCTGGACCATCTTTGTGAATGGGGGATCCACACCATCAACAGATATCTGTGGCCAAGCCAAACCCTGCAGTGCAAACACATTGGCAAATCATTCAATTGTCATGAAAACACAATCAATTGAGATTTCGAATACATTGCATTGCAGTGTCCATGGCACCTGTGAGGCCTGGCATGTGGCAATCAAGGTGCCTGCGGGCGATGCCTTTCTCAGCATCATATTTTCCACTTGAGCGGCAATTGCATGGCAGCTGGAAATGGAATGTAGACAGCCCATCTGCGAGTCAATATTAGACAGTTTGTGCCCAAGCAGCACTTTGAGCAATCCCATGTTCCTAAATTCACTCTTAGTGCTACTAACCAGGATTTGGTAATACTTAGCACATTTCTTGCTCCAAAATAACAATGATACATTCCCTGTTTGCAATACAAAAGCCCCCAAGTGCTGCTTCTTGGGAAAAGGGCACAAAAAACACTGTCGTGCCAACACTGGTGGGCTTGGCTTAATATGCGCAAGGGCAGCTGTGTGTCAAATTCAGCAATGTAACAAGTTCGTTTCTGTGGCACCCACCAGGATGCCATCAAATTTCGCAAGCAAGAAAGCGATGCCTGGCTCACTGGTGGCTTCTGCAAAGATTTGGTCCGGGATGGCAATTGGCGCGGGTGTGCCTGGGAGAGTCAAGGCATCCTGGCTCAAGAAGCCTGAGAGGCTGCCGCTGCCATATCTGATCGAGAAAGACTCCCCATTTGCCTGTGCGGAATTCAATCCATTCATCAGTCCATTCAATGCTTAAACAGAAGATATGTTTGCTTTGATCAATATGCCAACATCACACTGATACTTGATGAATTCCATGTAGAGCAGTATGTCTGCACTGAACTCGCACAATGGACTCATTGAAAACAGTATCAAACAGAACATTGTACTATTCGGGCATGTGCATCCTCTCCACATTGGTCAATTGTGTAGTTGAAGAACAAGGTTGACTGCCATAAGCCCCCGTCAAGCTGGTGACACCGATCCCGAAGTACATGTTAAGAGGCTGGCACATCTCTTCCACTGGCTGGCAGACAATCAGTACTTCTATTCAGTCTTTGAGTTTTCCTTGCATCAATCCGCACAATTCGTGCCGAATGGCCATCCGCTGAACACAACAGCAGCGACGCTGCTGTTTACGTCACACTCAAGGGCTGCTGCTCTTCTTCATGAGCTCACCATGTAAGTGGTCGACTTTGTCGAGTCATACTTCTTGTGGAGCAGGCATGGCAGGTCAGTCCACTTGCATGTTGCACTGGGCACCCACAAGTTGGAGCTGCCAGTGTCAAACACCACGCTGAAGTCCTGTGGTGGCGTCCCCAGCGTGATAGCTCCATAATACTGGTACAAAGGCAACACAGCAAGCAAGCATTTCAGTGACAGGCGGTCATGTGGGTGTCTTATTTTTCTGTGCACAACGCTGTGTGTTGTGTGAGCTCTATTGGCTGCATTTGTCAACAACTAGCAACAAAAAGGAGGTATTTGCACCTGGGGAAGCTGGGTCACAGCAGCAACGGCATGTTCTGTTCCTGTGGCACTCAGTGACCTCTCATTATGCTTCAAGGCATGCAGACAGGTCGCACAGACCTACCTGCCCAGAATGGAGGAGCAACTATATCAGTGTGGCGAATCTCCCTTCTTTTACAACAGGCGCACACAATTCTGTACTTGCTATGTTTGGCAGATGAGAACTCCCAAAGCGCAATAGTGCATATCGACCCGCACTTCATATGTGTTCGAATGGGAACCAGTCTGCCTCTGTGCATCCCATCGCCCTAATTGCATAAGGCACCGCTTGTGACCCGTTCTTGGCAAAGGCCATCAAAGGAAGTAAGATACACCAACAATTCACCTGCACTTGCCCAGTGCTGTGAGGCGAGCAGGGGCCCGTGCACGTAAACACCACTGGCACAGTTCCGAGACAGACAACGTTCACCTATCGCGCCAGGTACAGGAACACCACTGTGCGAAGAAGGACTGTGCAAGGCCATCTCAATTGTGGTTGGCCAAAAGATGAGAGCAGCTGACATAGTGGGGTGAAGAGGAGCAGAGCACATGGGATGACCGGCATTCCCATGGGCACGTTATGCACGGTTCAGGAGTTTGGATTCTGCCATTTCAACGCAGGGCAAATGACCGCTCAAGCATCGAGAGAAGCCGTGCAGGGCTGGCTGAATGGTTGATGACACACATCTCCTTTTGCCCCATCAGGGCGCAAGAACTTAGGCCCGCGCAGGGAACAGCAAAGTTCATGTTTGCTTGCAGGCCCAAATGGGACACGAATGCTGGACGCATGCGCAGTTGGATCGAGTGCACAGGAGGGGACAGCACTTGCCCACAAGTATTGCACCACCCGTTAACCTAAATGACAGCAGCAATATGTTGCACACTGAAATGTGCCGTAGCATTTTGGCTTCTTAACAAAAAAACAAATTGTGACGAGGCCCACAAAAGTGAGCATACCTTCTTGGCTCTGCAGGCCCCGGGTCTCCCCAGACAGACGCAACTGACGAGAGCACAGCCAACTGGGGCCGAAACTTGGGCGCCCAATTCCAAAATCCAAATCCAAAACCAACATCCAAATCCCAAATCCAGTGCCTGAGGCAACCCATGCCGAGGATCGGAGGAGACCACCGGTCCAAAAGGCGGAACAACGAGCAGAGACGCGCAAGCGTCCTCCCGAAATGCTCCGCACCACCCACAGAAAACAAAAGAAAGGATCATGCAACGTGGGCCGCCGTTGTGCATCCACCTGGCTGCGAAGGCATGCAGCTTTTGGATCTTGTATCCGTCGTCTTGAGCACGCGACAGGCCAACTCTAACTTCAGGCACCGACTTTTGATGCGCAGATCGCCCGGCACGGCCCTGAAAAGACGCAATTCGGGTCCAAGGCCTGCTTGCTGCCCCCCCCCATGGACAAACACCTCACTTTGCCCACGGAAAGAGGTGGACAGATCGGGCGGAAAGACTTCGCTTCTCGGTGCGTGCTTGCAGGTGGGACTCCTCCACTCTGCAGAACGTGCCTAACTCGCCACACTCTGATCCACACAGAGAGTGACGCCACACCTGCTCAGGAGGGGGCGCCCTTTGTACGGCCCGCTTCTCTCTCTCTTCGAATATTTCTCTTTGTATGTTTCTCTTCCTCTTTTCCCGACCTGTTTCCCTTTCTCTTGAACAAATTCTTACCAAATTTTACCCCCTGCAAAGATGTTTTTGTTCCCCCTGCCACGCCCCACCAGCACCCAACCTGCGCGTTGAGAAAGTTCCTGAGCGGCACGATCTCCCGGTTGGCCGCCGCGCTCCGCTGTGCCTCCCGCAGGCCCTTGCGATCGATCTCAAGCAGGCTCCTGTCCAACGGCGCCTTCCTCAGCGGCATCCGCACAAGGTCGCCCCTTCCGGCGCCGGCGAGCGCCAGCAGGACGAGCGCGCCCAAGATCTGCGCCATCGCCGCGCGGGGCGATCGCTCGATCGGGTTGGACGGTCGGCGGGGCTGGAAGCGACGCACTCCGGGCGCCTTTTGGGTTCGCTAGGGGCGCGGAGGCTTTCAAGCTGAGAACGAGCTTGGGGGGCGGGGAAGTGGGTTTGGCGACGCGTCAGGGGAGGGAAGGCCGAGGGTGGGGCCCAGTGAAGCTGACCCGCACCAGGAGCGGCCACGCTTGTGTACTTATTACTCCCTTTGTTTGTTTTTAAAAAACAAACCAATAGAAAATAAACGGATGTTAATCTGCGGCTGGTTGGGCCAGCCGTTGCGAAATGGCCCCAGCGTCGCCCCTTGCCGAGCCTCGAGACAGTAATTTTTGAGTCTTGATATTCAAGATTTGTTTGTGGTGGTGATGATGAGCTTTGGGGCAGTGTGGTAGGAAAATTGCAGCAGGAGTATGCTGAAATTTGTGACGGCAGGTCCCTCAACCTCGTTAAGTTTCTGTGAGTCACTTGTCGGTCAGGAGATTGTGGACGCTGATTTGAAAATGCCAAAGTTTGGTTAACACGGCTTACTGTGAGCATGACGTTATCCATACCATGAATCCTGTTATGTCAAATACGAATACAGATGAAATGGAGGGATAAAGCAAACACGGGCAGTACGTGCATTTTACATAGCCCTATTTTCTGCCAAACGTCCTTGCAGCCGCAAATAAGGACAGCATTCATGCTGCATGAACAGCCATTTCTGCAATGGGTTTCCTGTTGCACTGCCGCTTATTGTTGCACCAAGTATTGCACACGAACAGCCCGTCAGCATTAATGCCAATGATGCCGTTGATGCAAAAGCTCCATGCACTGCGCCAATCTACTTCGAAACATTAATCAGCATAGACATCAAACGTGTCGGTAATAAGATATTTGTGCATGAGTATTGCTGCAACGCTGCCTAACAAAGCCTCAACAGCTCGTTGCAGTAATGTGGCCGTCAATGCTTCACCAATGCCCTCCTTATCCTGGATGCAATAGCCTTCGGCTACGTGCCGTTTCGTGACTGCTGCAGTGTGCAGCTCTCAGAGCTGTCTGCGTTACAAGTGAGCACGTTCCATTTGGGCAAGTATCGACGCATATTTCTGCAGCATCTTTTACAAATAAGAACATTTGAATTTATAGAAATCCGCACGTTTGCTACTGTGTGCACAGTTACAAGCAGGTACCAAGCAAAAGTGCTACTAGGCCGAATAACTCATATACTGGCTAGAGTAATTCTCTTGCAATATGTGTTTTATTTTTTCCTGAACAGGAACGTGCAAGTACCAGGAAACACACATTTACACATATTTGCGCATTTTCGATTTGGACCTATGCCGTCATGCTGCGCATTTCCATTTCCTTTCTTGGTGTTTCTTGCCTCCACATGCATCGTTCTTGAAAGGATCATCTTTACTGTACCCACCGGTGCTGCAACTGGTTCGGAATCGCATCGAGACGCAAGTGCTGTGCACACTCTGGGTTCAATTTTCACCTTCGGAAATGCCAAGCCATCACAGATAATGGCTGCACACGCACGGCAAGTGCGTGCGGATTGTAATACCTTTGTGAACCGGTGAAAAGAGGCAAGAGCAGTGCGCTCTCAAAGGACAATAGTTGCCCATGCAAACCAACACAATGTGACACGAAAAGAGCGTCCGACATTCCAAATTGCAGGAAAATTAAAACTGATGTGCCCTTGCCTCAGGGCCAAAGAACTCGGTGGGGCAGCCACCGCCGTTTGCCTCCGCCAATATCAATTCAACTCAACTCACCCAAATCTTCTCAGCATAGCACACAATTGCGGAAGCCAACATACAAACTGCAACAATCTTTAACCAGAGGAATTTCGCCGGCCATTTCTATCTATCAGTGGAAACTGGCTGCGCAGGGCCTCGTTCCGTCCATTGGACAAGCGAAAGCAACAAGGACTCATGAACTCGAGGGCACTCAAGGAAAGTGGCAATTTCCAGCACAAGCGGCAAAACATGGCAACGCTGGAACTGGCCATGGCCCCCTCGTTGCTGGTCATGTGCAAATGCTAGTGGCGAACACTCTTGGGGACTTTCTCTCCATCTGCAGCCCCAAAACTTCCACATGCTGCTTATTTCAAGCCCCAAAATTTCCACATGCTGCTTAACTTATATTATGCTGCTCATTTGCGGAACGCCGTTCCTGCGCATACATTTCAGTGCCTCAGCCTCTAAGCCTTCGCAAGGCTTGTAGGCCTTGCGTCATATTACGTCATATTATTTCCTGTTCCTATCAGGACATCGCGAACCAGAGTCGCAAGCTCGCACCTCCAAGTGCCTCTCCCACGACGCCCATTTCCACAACGCCTGTCGTGCCAATGTGGAAGGCACGAGCCAACATCACAACCTGCCAAACACTACAGACATCATTTCGAAGGCGGTGTCAAATCAGAAGCGATGCGGCCCCGCCGCCCACGCGCACACATCCCGGCCCCCGACCACCGCCTCCGAAGGGCCGCCCGCCGCCCCAGGCCTCAAGAAGCCGGGTCACAGGAGCGGCGCCCCGCCACCGACGGATGTGACCAAACGCTATGCCGCATCCCCCCAACAAGAACACGATAAAAAAAACCGCCCACAAAGCCCGTCGCCTGCTCCGCCGTGGAGCGGCTCTCGTGAAACAATTCACGGACACTGCTTTGCTCGGGCGAAACGGGGAGCTGATTGCTGCCTCCTCGTCCCGATGTGTAAGAATTCTTGATGATGATAGGAGCGCCTCGTGACGAATGCTGCCCACCAAACTGCCGGTGCAACCGTCAAGACCCCTGTGAGCGTGTCACGACGTCAGCCTCCGACCGCAGGCGCCGTGCTTCCGCCCCGCCTGACGCACCGGCGTCCTCCCAATCTCCCCTGCCTTCCTCCGATCGATCACCCCCTCTCCCTTTTCGCCGCGTACTGTGCCCCACACCTCCCCACCCACTCCCACCATCCCCCTCTCTGTTCCCCTCCCCCAGCGCATCCCCCGCACGTAGCTCGCCCAGCGTTGCGCCCGCCCAAGGCCGCTGCCGCCGGGCCATGCTCCTCCAAAACGACACCGCTGCGAGCGCGCTGCCCGCGCCTGAACTTCTAAAGCCCGGCCGCCTGCTCGAACGACAGCGCTGGGCTGCGTCTTTAGTCCACCCCCTAACACACGACGCAAACCGTGCAACTCGGCCCCGCCGCGGCATACTTCCCCACCTTCATCAGCGCGCGCTCCGCCAAGCCGCACGCCTCCTCATCCGGGTTCCCCGCATCCATCCCCGCCAGCCCGTTGAGCATCCCCGCCGCGGACGCCGCCTTGGCCTGGCCCAGCGCCACCTCCCGCCTCGACTGCGCGGCCTCGGGCAGCACCTTGAAGATCGACGGCACGGGATCCCGCCGGGCCGCCCGCAGGGCGCGCAACTCGCCGCGGGCCTCCCTCAGGGTGGGGGGCTCCACGACGTCCCGCGGCCTCTCGGGGGGGATCGCCGTTTCGGACATTTTGTCGATCTCGTGCCCGTAGCCACCCGAGTTGGTGGCGGTCATGGTGCCCCACTGCCGCGCCCGCCTCAAGAAGGCCTCCCTCTTCCGCTCATCCTCCCGCCGTGCCCGCTCCCTCTGCCACGCGCGCTCCAGTTGCGCTATGCGCTTCTCGCAGGCCCTCATCTGGTTCCCCACCTTGGCGTTGTGCGCCTCGATCCGCGCGTTCAGCGCGTCGATGCACCTCTGAATACGCTGCGGCGCCCCCTGATCCCACGACAGCACCCGCCCCTTGCCGTAAAACCGCTCCCCGTCGACCTTGCGATCCAAAACACCCGCCTCACTCCGCTTTCCAAACGCATCCTTGCATGAGGGCATCCCGACCGCGGATCGCCCATCCACGGCCATGTCTATGACCGCAGCGCCCAAATTGCCCGCGCGCCTGTCCCCGTAGGCTATCCCCATCCTCCCGGCGTAGCCGCTCTGAAAAAACAACCCCGCGGTCCGCCGCTGCCTCGGGCGCCATGTACGCCTCTCGCCTTGCTTCCGCGGAGTTTTGTCGAACACGCTTGATGGGCTGATCGAGAAGGGATCTCAAATTGTCGAATCCGACGGGGTGCGACTGGCGAGGATGACGAATGGTGGTGTTTGATGAGATTGCGCGCCCGCTGCGGGGTTCAACGTTGGGCGGGCGGGCATTGGGAGCAGCGCCCCGCCTTGACTCAACGGTTGATGCAGCGCTGATGGTTTTGTTGATTGCTTGCTGATGGTTTGGCGGGCGTTTTCGGATGCCGGCATCCGCTTGATGGGCGTCCGAGGTCGGCTCGGCGTGAAGCTCACAGGCGAGGCCGCGCAAACCTCCAGCCAGGCGGTTACGTGCTTCTTGGGAGGAGGTCACGGGGTGGTGATGGTTCCGTGAACTTGTTCGCCTCATGAAACGATGGATTCATCATCATCATCGTCGTCGTCAATGTCTCAACATAGCAAGTCAATGAGGCAGCCGTCAGCGGTGGATTCACGTTGCAGCGTTGCGATGTTGGTTCACACCGCAGTTGCGGCCGATCTTGCGTAGGTGTGCGCGAAGTGAGTTGCGAATTTTCCCTGAATCGATGCCGATCATGTGGTCACTAGCCTGGTGCACAACAACGTTGTTGGGGACCGGACTCATGAGCTACAACGTCGTGGGTCTAACATCGCTTGGCACCAGACTCGTGACCAAAATCGTTGCAGCGACGTTGGGCCTACAACGTTGTCGCCCAATCGGGCACCAGAATCGTAACCTTCAACGTTAAGGGTAACGTGCAAATCATCGACGAGCCCGCTGCCGGGCACCAAGCACCTTTGGTGATAACCAGACTATGTGCCCTAGTTTAGTGCGCTCTCGAAATGTGTTGCAAATGTGTAGTGCACCAATTTGTGCAACACTTTTTCACGACTTTCTCCAAGCCTCGGGAAAAAAAAACTGGGCCAGCGGGCGTGCTTCAAACTGAAAGTCTGATTAGCACCCAGCCAGGTTGGGTGCGGTGTGTGGACCTGCGCTTAAAACAAATTTAGTCTTTGTTTTGCCAAACAACATAACTCCCACCGTCTTTGCATCTGGAGTTTTGTTCTCGCTCCGCTTAAAATTACCGCAATGTGATGAGCATCTCTCATGATTTTGGATGGCGCCTTCACACCCACGGTGTGTGTCTCATGGATTCATCAGAGTGGTTTGCTAAAGAGCAACAACAAAAAATCGTTAATGCCGGTAATCGTTGTCCAAAGGACCCTACCTTAATCTTGGCCTCTCACCCTCCTACGCACCACGCCTATCACAAGATTCTCATTCAAATCAATGCTGGAGGAAGCGCGTTGAGCAGGCTTTGGAAATTCAGTTATTTTCTATCCAAAACACACAATATTATGTGGGCTTGGATAAAATTCAAAGTGAGCATATTTTAGGACATATTTCAGAACAACATTCTGACTGGCATTAAGTTGGGGGAAGTATGTTTACTTAAGACTGCGAGTTCAACCCGCATGTGTGGAACTCAACCCGTTTGGGAGTTTGGCATGCTGTGGATGCAGCGAGGACCTAGAGGCGATTGCCATCGCCGTCGCCATGGGAAGGTCCCTAACACCCAAGGGTATCTTGGGCAGCAAGTCGATACGGCAGAGGCAAAGCACTCTCTGCAATCGATTTTACATGTTTAACTTTGCACAGTTGTCCATACTCTTAGGATCGACCATGGGTGTGTTGTCCCAGAAAATGGCAACTGGCATATGTGAGAGCACGTATGGTTGACCTACCGCTAGATTCAATCTGTGCTCAGGGGCAAATCCTTGTCAAGGCAGGAAGATGCTTGTAATTGCCCATACTGCAGTCCTGCCCGGGCTTGCGCAAATGACGGGCAAGTTGCACCCTGACACTCTTGAGCGGGTTGAGGATGAGAGGCTATTTGATGGCTTTGTCGCTGTTGCATTGGACTTGGTCTTTACGGCATAAACTCTTAGCGTTTACGCCTACAAATAATATTACAATTTTATAAGTAAAGACTTTTAGGAGAGCGCGTATTGACCGGGTGTAGATAAAGATAGTATACGCAGGCTCATGGAGTCCGAGCAGTGGAAGTCAGATGCGCTTGAGTGAGCAGAAAACGGCTTTTTGCTTGACGGCGTCTTTGCCCTTGCTGAGGCGAGGTGGATGTTGTGTTGCGGGTGCTCAAGGGGGCGGAGGACCCATTATTGTATGCGAACTCATCTGATGAGTTGCATGATTCATGCAACATGGTTGTCGCAACGAGACGTGAACATAGCTGCAAAAATAGCCCTTTTGCATTTTTGTATTTTTGCGCATAAAACCATGAACGTAAACATAAAGTCTAAGGTTGGATTCATCAACCGGGATGCTGACTCCCTGAATTTACATGCATTCAAGATTACTAAATGGTAAATATTTGCCATTTTTATTGAGTATTTTGAGTACAAAATGATAGTACAAAGTATTTTACGCGTTGCCCGTATGATTAACTTTATTCGTATCCATATTTCTCAAGCCTGCTGATGAGGAAAAGTAAGCTTGTTATTTGTCGCCTTCATTGCATTGCGCAGAGGTGGTGAAATTTATTGGCTTACATTAAACTTTTGCTCACAGCATAAATATTGTTTGTATATAAATATTTACTAATTTATAAACTAGCCCTTCACCGTGATAGGGTTACAAGCTGGTATATTGCCAATGAGTCTTTTGCTAGTGCAGCAAACGTGGGATATGATACAGACGAACTATGTGTGTAATGGGACGTTCAATTGAATGGTATAAAGAGGAATATATACAGTGAATAAATCTGAGCTCAAAAGAGTTTTTTGAGGAAATTTAGAATAAATTAGCATGGTGGTATAGAATTGAAAGTGCATGATATTAATGGAAGGAAATTACAATGGGCACACATGCACCAAACCTATGATGTACTTCTTCCGTCCCATATTAAATGTCCTCTATGACTTTGGCGCACAACTTCTCCACTACAACTTCTTATTTTTTTAAAAAAATGCTCAAAGCTTTAACTATGTCTTGGAATAACACAGTCAAAATTTGACGTCAATCCGCTAAGTATTTAGGATTTGGCAGTACTTTATAACAAGGGTCCTCCGGCCAGAAATCCACCGGTTTTTCAACGATTCCGCGAAAACGGCCGTTTTTTGCGATGGTGAAGACCACGCCTTCACGGCAGCAAAACAGAGCCGCCTATACAGAACTTTCCACGCCACTCAGGCTGAGGGTGGGAGCGGTCCTTGTGAAGCGGCAAGGTAGCAGAAAACGTGTTGCGCACCCTATTGGGTGCGCCCCAGGACCTGCCCACGAGGGGCACGCGGAGAGCGAGCGGGGAACTCAATCAGAATGTTACATTTGGGAGCGTGAACCACAAATATAGTCAGGTGTTCATTTACTGAAAACAGCAACTAATCAAATTATAGACAGACTACTCCCCTAGTGTATCTAGTAAACCCAAATCTCACCCCAATATCGCAGTACAACAAAATGAAGTGAAATCACTAGTTACTAGTGACTAGTATAACTGGATCCACCAGAATTCACAACAAAATGGGTTCCGAGTGGCTTGATCGCTGAACTCGCCGAGAGATTTGGCTACGATTTGAGATCAATTCGGCGAATCGGGGCAGCGATGCGGGACCAGATCTCCAAGCCCGGAGTCTTGGATCTTCATTGCCATCATCGAGGCAGTTGCGGGAGGCCTCCCAAGATTGGCAAGGAGGTGAGAGAGAAAGTGGTGGCCATCACCCCCACCAAACGGTGGACAATTAGCCTAATTGCCCTAAGGGCGATGGCTGTTAGGATGGAGATTGCCAAATCGACGTTGTTTCAGCACTTGAAGGGGATGGGCGCAAGGCGAGCTGCTAGGAGGATAAAACCGTATCCCTCTGAAGAGCAGAGAGTTGCTAGGTTGCATTGGATCGTGGCCCACACACGCAAAGTGGGCCGCAAGTGGGAGTTTTTTGACTTTGTGAACACAATACATGTGGATGAAAGTTGGTTCTATTTGATGAAAGATGCTCAGAAAGTGTGGTTCCTGCCGGAAGAAGAGCGTCCAAGGGCTCCCAAAGCACAGAGCAAGAGTTTTATAAAGAAAGTGATATTTTTGGCTGCCATTGGCTGCCCCCACAAAAGGCCAAATGGGACCAAATTCAATGGATTGATAGGGATCTGGCCATTCGTGAGGGAGGGTTTTGCAGTGCAATCAAGCAAACATAGAATTGCTGGGGAGGCAGAGTTGAAGCTAGTTTCAGTGGACGGGGGTGCTTGGAGGGACATGATGGTGGAAAAGGTCTTCCCTGCCATCAGAGATGTATACAAACACTTGAAGAAACATATCGTGATCCAATTCGATGGGGGCAAGCCATATACCAAATCGTCGATTCAAGCATCGATTGAGGCGGAGTGCTCCGAGGAAGGCTACCACATAATCTTGGAGTGGCAGCTCCCCAAAGTCGGACTTCAACATCTTGGATCTTGGGTTTTTCCACTCGTTGCAGGTCCGTGCATCAGAAATCAAGGATGGCAGAAATCTGCAAGCCATCATTGACGCCGTGACATCAGCGTTCAACAACCACTATCCAAACATGCTGGAGCGTGTTTGGCAAAGACTATTCCACGTGTTTGATGCTGCCCTCCACCACGATGGTGGGAACGACTTTGGCTTGCTGCTAGGATGGGAGCCACCCAGATGCGTGGAGATCTTAAGTGGACGTGGAATGTGAATGCGCATTTTTTGGGCCGGGCAAGGGGTATTTCGGAGGTTGCTCAGAGGGGTCAGGGGTAATTTTTCTTCCTTGAAAATTGGTTGTTAAGGGTTTCGGGACCCAATCTTTCTGATTTTGATACTGTTTTGTGCTTTTGAGGGGGTCCTTGTAACGAATTTTGTCCCTAAAACAGAGGACATTTAGTATGGGACGGAGGAAGTATG